ATAAAATAATAAAAAAAATAAAAAATAGTGGCACAGCCCAAGTTCGGGTTATGCTGCGTCAAATTTGACCCTTACAACTCTCCCTCACTAAAGAAAGCTTGTAACACAAGCTCTCCTTGGCTTAGATCATCAAATTGGTCCTTGCTCAAGGATGCAACCTTGGAAATTCGGGTATGGTGGGTTCGATAGATCTGTTCGAGCCCAAAGGGCTTAAACAAATAATAAATACGGCTGGCGGCCCTAAGGAAATAGGCACCATACTCTTTCTTTGCAGCAGCTCTTTCGTCTTTGGCGGCGGTAGATAATCGAGCTCCAAAGTAGAAAGCATACACCAGGGTGTCGATTCATCTTCCCCCTGCTCTAGCTCTTTTTACCTCATCATGTGCAAGGGCTAGTTGAGTAGCGATTCTTTGTGTATTATCGTAAGGACAAGGGGCAGAAACAACAATGGCTGGTTCTGTAGCAAGCAAATCTTGCTGGATCAAAGTTACGTCGTTAGTCATTGTAGGAGTAGTATGATATTTGTTTAATTGTTTTTGTTTGATTTTTATTTGTTTTGGTGTGTAGAAATTGGATTTTGATAGAGAGTCTTTTTGCCGTTTTATATATTTCTCTCATGGTGGGCTTTCAACAATGTCTTGTTTACTGCATGCAATAACACTTTTCCCATTACCGTACGAAGTTTATAGGCACCATTCCCGATTATACTATGTATATAGTATGGGCCCTTCCATTGTAGTACCATCTTATGGCTATGAGTTTTCATCTTTCGCGTATCTTCAACATATACTTTATCTCCTATATTAAAGTCGGGGGTGGCTTTGATCTGTCGATCGTGTCTATCCTTTTGTTTTTGCTGTTGGGCTTTAATGCGTTCCATGGTTTGGTTTTGTGCCGTTGGTAGATCATTTTCTAGTTCATATATCCGTTGAATGATCGTCCCCTCTAATAAATTACCCGTTTCACTTGGGTGTATAGGCAATTTAGCTTCTCTCCTGTATACAAGAAAAAA